GCCAAAATGTTGGCTTTGTTTGCGGCTCTCCTTTTTCTCTAATTTTGGTCTGCAAACTTAGGTTGTTAACCCTCCAGAAGACAAGCTTATTATTATTACAATACAACCTAGGTTGTTAAGCTTAACCTCACTGTCTGTCTGAATATCAAACATCTTAGGCATAATATGGAACAGGTATTTTTCATCAAGTATTAATATGTTGAACTTTAAGTCCCTACAGAATATGATGAAAAAGCATTTAAAAATTAGAATATATTTCAAAATAGGCATAAAGAATTATATAATTCTTATGTTTACACATAAGTCCAAAAATCTAACCATATACAACCTTGTAGCAGGATAGTTCCACAACATTCCCTTTCCTATCTCCTGCCTTCATTCACCATCCCCTTCTTTTTGAACAATCGTCTACCCAAGAGACAGCATGGCAACAATTGGAATGTCATGACAAGTAGCCCATGTTCAGAAGACCAGAGTGACAGACACTCTAAGCATGAACCTACTATTATAAGTTGTCATCTTCAGTTGCTTAGTTCACAGGTGTCTGTATATATAGTTAGGGTGAGAATCATTCCAATTAACTGCAAGATTCAAAAAATCTTCTGAAGATTCTCACGATCATTGTCTTACCCATGTTCTACATATAAGTATATGGCTTGCCACTGTAATGTTTCCTAGCTCTTTTCTTGCTTACTTTTCATTGTATAGTCCCCAAGTTCTTCCTTTCCTTTTAGTTGTATTATACCTTTCTATTTGTATTAGTCTTTAGGATTTTCTACCTATAAGATTAGGTCCTCTGAGCAGATTTTATTTTATTACTTCCTTTCCAATTTGTAGAAATTTTTTCCATAATTTTATTGAGAAACAAATAGCAATGAGACAGTTTCAAACCAAATTGGTGGGACAGTTTCAATAATTAACACATTGCATACATTCTTCATAGAGGTTAATTGCTGTACAAGATGCAGACATGATATCCTATTTACAAACACCATTAGAACAAATCCCTCTATTCATTAAGAGAATGTAACTATATATCTATCCTAACCACTTTGAATACACAGATACAAAATGGACATTCATCTGTATATCCCATTTTTTCTAAGTTCCGTTATTGAGTATTATAGGTATGTAAAGTCAGCAAAATATTAAAAATATGGAATGTTTCACGAATTTGCATGTCATCCTTGTGCAGGGGCCATGCTAATCTTCTCTGTATCATTCCAATTTTAGTATATGTGCTGCCGAAGCGAGCACAGCCAGATTTTAAATGTGTAATATAGTTATCTCCTTCTGTTGTGTAATATAGTTATCTCCTTCTTTTGAATTTTTGTCTTAACTAATGTGTATAACCTTCCTTGCCATTTCTGATTAGTTTTATCTTGACGTTTCCTTTGAGAATAAAATTGCTACTATTAAATATTTTTAGGCTCCTGTGACATAGAATGTTTTTCATCCTTTGATTTTTTTAGTTTGTAAATTTCTTATTAGATTATATGAGTCTCTTGAATGCAGATGATCATAGTTCTGAGTTTTTATCCAATCTACCAATTTTTAATCTTTAAAGTGAAACAATTGAAGCTTTTTTATTGAGATCTATTTTTACTTAAAGGTACTGAATTATTTCTCTTATTTTTTTTCTGCTGTTGACTATATTTTCTGCTGTCTTTAACTACTTACTTTAATTGATATATTTGTTACACTTGACTTTTTGGTTTTGTTTTCTCTGTCTAGAATGTTTTTAAGGGTTTTTTTTGTGCTTGTTTGGTGTTCATGAATTTCTTAAGGTATTCTTTGTTATGAGATATCCTTATTTCTTCATCAATTTGGAAAGATAGTTTTGCAAACTATATTAATTTGGATTGGAAATAGTTTCCTTATGTGCTTAAAATACTTCATTTCAAACATTCTTGCCCTTTAAAATTTGTATTAAGAAATAGCCAGAGCAAAAATAACTATAGAAATTTCTGGGATCCAGAAGAACACAGTGCAGCTTCCTCTCTTGGCTTCTGCTGGTGCAAAACTGGAGTTTCAAAATGCAAAAGACCATAGGTTTTCTTTTCCCTTGCCAAACAGCAAGGCACTAGTCCTCCATGTGCCAACTTTCTCCCCTTCTCAGTTCATCAGCACCAAAAAATCCAAAGAATTTGAGATCTCTGACAGATGAAAGCCTAGAGGGAGGCTACAGGGCCAAAAGGCCAGTAGAGTTCCCCCAAGGTAGAGACTAAGGGGAAAAATGTCTCACTGAGATAAATATAATGCTTAGGATTATATTATATTTTAGTTTTTGTATTTCAGGGAAGAGTCTACAGGGTGTTCAGGGTCTCACTACTAGATTTGGTTCCTAGTGATCCACCTGTTTAGAGTCTCCCAAGAGCTGGGATTACAGGTGCATGCCAGCACCCCCAGTCTCATTGCTGTCTCAGCACACCTTGGGGGGCGGGCCAACACAGGAGGCCTGGGGATCAAACCCCCAGCCCCTGCACCTGCTTGCAGGTACTTTATTCTACTGAGCTATTTGGCCAGCCCACTGTTTAGTATTATAAATCAGTTTTATCAATCAGCTTTGTCTTTGTTAAGCCCTATCAGCATGGGTGATAGCTAAAACGTAGTTGATAGAATAGTGGAAGGGGTAACTTTACCAGTTATCCATCCTTGTATAAATAAGTTTTCACACAACAATTTGTGAAATTGCTTCCATTTAAGCTTCAATTACTGGGCCATATCTAATCCAAGATACATGATAAATTGAGGCAGAATCTTTTCAAATTTGTGGCTAGCTTGACCAACTTAGTGGAATCCAATGTTAAAATATTTTTTTTAAAAAAAAAGTGTTGCTGGAGATGTAGCCCTTGCCTAGACTGCTAGGATCCTCAGTTTAATTTCCAGTACCAGAAAAAGTTGTCTCTATTTCTCTTTTTTAAAAGTAGGTTGGTGCTTGGGAGATAGCTCAGCAGCATAAGCACCTGCCTGCCAAGTACAAAGTCTGGAGTTCGATAACCAGTACTGCCAAAAAAAGGGGGGTTATCAATCATGAAAGGCAATATATTTTAATCAAGATGTATTGTTTCAGACTTGAAAATTGCATTAAATCAAAGTATTACCTTATGAAGTAGAATATATATATATATATATATATATATATATATATATATGTCGTATATGTATATGTGTATATATTCACATATATGTGAAAGGATTACATATAAAGTCTATATACTCAAAAGACTCTTATTAAGAAAATAATCTTCAGGAAGCACAAAAATGACATCACACTTGTTGATTTTGGAAAATACTTTAAAGCTATATTAATTTGAACAGTATGACACTGACAGAGAGACAGACATACGGGTCAATGGTTCAGAAGAGAATGCTCAGAAACAAAATGCCACATACAGAGATAACAATCATCTGATAAGCATGACAAGAATGTATAAGGAGAAAAGGACAATTTCTTCTCTAAGTGTGATTGGAAGGGTGGATATTTTCACACAGAATGAAACTAGACACATAGTACACCATACACAATATGAATCCAAAATGGACATAAAATTTAAAACTGAGACCTAAGCCTATAAAATTGCTGAAATAAAAGACAGAACAGCTTTCTTACTGGTATTTTGATTGGATGTAGATTAACTGGTTTGCAGTGCTTCCTTTGTTTAAATTTCATCCCCACTGTAAGCTACTGAGAGAATGAAAGCATCATCTGACTATAGTATTTAGAGACAGGGACTTTTCATGATTTTTAATGAAGATCGTAAGAGTGGAGCTTCAGTGATTAAATCCCTTCACTAAAAAGAAAAGAGAGAAGGAAAAGAAAGACACGTGAACATGATTACTCTATCTCTGATCACGTGGTTCCCAGTGCCACCTTAGGAATCTTCCAACAATAAGGTCATCATCAGATGTCATTGCGGGAACTTCCAGAACCATAAGCTATGGAAAGCCTTGTTAAAAACCCATGCAGCCTTGCTATAGTTTCATCAATCACAAAAAATAACTAATAAATGAGATTAGTGTTTGCTGTGGTTTCTCAGATATGAGGAAATGAAAGCATAAAGAAACAGAAAAGACTCTATGAATTCTAACAATGTTAGCACAGCAAAGTAAGCAGTTGATACAGTGGGTAGGTCGTCAACAGAACAATAGACAATATTAGTGCACAATCTGACAAGGGTAAATATTCAAACACATATGGGACTCCTGCAACTCAATACAGAAAAGCACAAGCAATTGGATTAAAAGTTTAGACATGAATGGAAATTTCTTCAAAGACAAAAATGTCTAAGTGGCACATCAAAAGATACTTGACATTGTTCATTATCATCAAGGAAATGCAAATTATAACAATGATTGTGGATAGCATTTTTATCTAACTTAGTTGCCTACAACATTAACTTTATTCATCATAATCAAGGAAATGCAAATTATAACAATGATTGTGGATAGCATTTTTATCTAACTTAGTTGCCTACAACATTAACTTTATTCATCATAATCAAGGAAATGCAAATTATAACAATGACATAGTACTTCATTCATTTGAATGATGATTCCTAAGAATTAAGCTAAAAATGCAGGTGTTTTTGAGCATGTATAGAAAGTGGAACCTTTGTACACTGTTGTTCAGAATGTGAAACTGTATAGCTGGTCTCGAAAAAAGTATTAAGTGTCTTTTAAATGTTTTAAAGAGAAGTACCACATGATTCACCTACCCTACTGCTTTATGATTACCCAATACACTTAAAAATCAGGATTTTGAAGAACTATCTGTTTCTACTCAAAATCCTGCCCATTTTAAGAAAAAAAGCCCTTCAAATCTTTTCCTTGGATTTGCACACATCTCTTCTGCTCCCACTTTAGGGGACCAAAGTGATTCCCAGTCTCAGCCAGATGACAGTGATGAGCAACTATCCTGCTGGAAAGAGCTGCACATTACTGAAAGACAATGTGGCATTTACAATTGTTGTATCTTTCTGGCAAATTGGTCCACTTACCTTTACGTTGTCTTTGTGAAAGACAAAGTAACAAGAAAATGGAGGGAATACATGGGAAGAAGAGGGAGGTGTAAAGGAGAGTAATACAGGTCTTGGGAAAATCAAAATAGGTTCCATGCATGTGCGACCTGAGTTGTCCTTGCTGCTCTTGAGTTGCTTTATCTCCTCATGAAGTTGTTGGCTCTCATTTTGGAATCCTTCTCTTAGTATATTGGCTTGTTCCTAAAAAAAAACAACACAAAGAAAATATGAGTAACTTCTGACAAAATCTTTTCAGGAGAGATTAATGTAAATGGAACAATTCACGAGGATGATATAACAATCGTAAATAAGCATACACTGAATATTGGTGCATCTACTGAATATTGGTGCATCTACTAAATATTGGTACAAAAACTTCTTGAGAGGATGGAGCAGAAAGATATGAAAAAAAATTTTTATGGAATTTCTCTATCCTACCCTTACAAATAGAGAAGTAAAAAAATAAAAAATTAATAAAGAATGATCAGAGTCTATCTACATCACAGAACCAATGGGTTTACTGATAGCTGTGGAGTGTTTTATGTAATGATAGGAGAATACACATATTCTGTGCACTTAATAGAAAATTTTAAAATATAAAACATAGTTTAGGCCTGAAATCATGTCTCAATTAACAAAATAATTGTAACAATGTCCTTATCTGCTACAGGACAATGGAATCAAACTAGAAAACAGCAAAAAAAGACCACAGATTTCATACAAGTACATGAACATTGTATAAAACTCACTGGAGTAATCAGTGGGCCACGGCAAATGTCAGGAATGAAATTTAAAAAGTCCCACTCAAATGATGGTGTAAATCTAACATAACAGAATCTGTGGAATACAATGAAAGCAGAGTTAAGAAAGAAGTTCATAGCTATAAGTGCCTACGCTAGAAAAATAGAGAGACTTCCCCTGCCCTTAAGCATATATCAAGAGGAATTGTGCTTGGCATTTGATGGATAGACTCAAGGAGACCACCCAAATGTAGTTATATCCAGATATGAAGCCAGGGGTTCTCTGGATGTCCATATTTTCTGCTTATTTTTGACAAAACCCTTCTTTTTTTAAAGTTTACATTTATTTATTTATCTGGTACAGCATCTCATTATGCAGTTTGGAAAAGTAGTGATTCTCCTGTCTCAACCTCCCCAGTACTGGGATTGCTGGTGTGCATCACCATACCTGGTTTTGGAGGCCTGCTCAGTGCGCCCAGGGCCCGCATGGTATACAGTACCAGGCATTAAACCCATGTCCTTGTGCTTGCCAGGTAGACACTTAGACCTATGAGGGATCTCCTCAGCCCTGACAAAGCCCTTCTCAAGAGGAGACATGTGTGGATAAGTCCATAGGAAGACTAGAAAGGAATCCCAGGGAACTTAGATTCAGGGGTGGTGTAAAGAACAAAAAACAAGAAAGTGCTGAGGATCTAAAAGTGGAGGACAAGTAGAGAATTAAAGTTGCTTGAGTGAACTTTTATTCCATGCTAGCCAGGATATGAGAAGAAATGAGGTCAATAGGATAAGAGGTTACCAAACAATGATGGGACATTTAGGCTAATGCTTGGAGCAAAATGTTCACTGGAGAAGGACAGAATGAGACAAAAATGTACTAGATCCTCACTGCCTTGTTGTCACCAACAAACAGGTGACATGCCCATCCTCACGCAGCTCATTTCTCAGCAAGTGGAGACTGACTCTGTATGTACAAGTTAGGTAAGTAGGGATTTAAACAGTTGTACGTTAAGGTGGTGTGGAGGGGGCCTGGTAAAGGGCCAAAGATTGATGATGTGGTCAGAAAGACATA